GAACGGCTGGTCCCCCTCATTTCTATTTCTTTTTCTTTTCCTTCTTTCTTTTTTTTTTTGAGTGATTTTTTGCTATAGGGTACTTGCTCTCACTAGAGATACACAGAGAGACAGAAAGTAAAAATCACCCCCCAGGAGGCTGGCCACACTGCAATCTTTTCTCCAGTCTCCTCTCCCAAATCCCAAGATTTTGGGCATGCGTGTACATGCGCCCACTGTGAGTTTGAGTACGGGGTCCAGGGCTTGAGCTGAGGCTGATTACATGGGGGTCCAGCAGCGTAACCATTCCATCATCTGCTGACCCCATTGCCCTTGTCATTCTGCCTCCTAGCAAGTCTCCCTTGGCCAGGCCTGCTCGGCCCATCACGTGTGTGTGACACTCACTGTCACTTGGCACATGGGTCCTTTTTTGATATTCCTGCCTATGGACACCTTTCAAAAGCCCAGCCCCTGAGGCCAGCAGGTGGCGTAGTGGTTAAGGTTCTGGACTCCCACATGGCTGTTTGCCGTTTGAGTCCCTGACGGGGCAGTATCGAAATTACCCCTGTTGCGTGTGCGTGCAGACTCAAAATCCTGAGGGGAGGATGGAGGAGAAGGGATTGTGGTGTGGCGACCCCAACTGGCAGGTGATTTCTCACTTTCTCTCTCTCTGTCTCTAAGACTTAGGATTGAGGAAGAGCAGAAGGCCTTCTGTGGCTCTGCCGCCCTCTTTCCTGATCCTGTACACGTACCACAAAGCCACATCATGATTTTTATTTTAATCCTGAAATTGAATGACCAGAGGAAGGAATGAGTCAAAGGCTTCTGCCTGTGAAACTTCTGGAACCACCACTTGGGATTAGAGCTTTAATCCTCCCAGTCATCTCAGGAAAGCCACAGAGGCACTCAGCCAGGCCTGTAGTTGGTAGCAAACTGAACTGCAATGCTGGAAGCCACATGGCTGTCCAGGGCTTTGGATCCCTAGGTCAGCTTAAAAACACCAGATGTGGCTACATCTGCCCAAGATCCTGAGGAGCTAGAGGGCAGGGAAAGGGGGTCGCAGTGTAACAGGGGGCTGTCAAGGGTTTCTCTCTCTCTCTCTCTCGTGCATGCATGTGCTCTTTATTTTGAATAAAATAGATAAACAAAAAAATGTTTTACGACAGGCCCCAAAATGCAGGGCTTAACAGCTGTGCGTTGGAGGCCAGATTCTACCTGGTTGCCCACAGCGAGTTCTAACCCTGGCCCCAGAGGCTTGAGAAACACAAACACAACAGGCACACATACATGCGTGCCCAGATCCCGACAGGATGGAGAGGTGAAGGGACTGCAGGGGACTACACCACACCACGAGCTGCTCTTCTCTGCCTTCCTCTGTCCCTCTCAGCTGAGTGCATGTGCCCTCTGGCAATCTTTTTTTTTTTTTAATTTTTATTTTTTGGGGGACTGACAGGTGGCATGGTGGTTAGGACCACTGGACTCCTGCATGGCCAACCGCATTTAAATAAATAAAGTTAAATAGAGGAATTGTGGGACCAACAGATGACATGACGGACCGCTGTTCAAATCCCAGACTTGATGGCTTGCTTTTTCACTTTCTCTCTCTCTCTCTGTCTCTCTCTCTCTCTGTTCCCTCTCTAGTCAAACTAAAATTAGTAAAGTTAAAATACATCTTTAAAAATAAAATAAGAATTGTGGGATGCCGGCAGATGGCAGGGTGGTAAGGATGCTGGACTCCCACATGGCCAACCACAGTTCAAGACTGAAACCTGGTGACTTGCTTTCTCACTCCCCCGCCCCCTCGTCAAATTTAAATAAGTAAATAAATAAATAAAGTTAAATAAAATCTCTTTTTTTTTTTTTAAAGGAATTTGGAGCCAGCTTTATGGCACAGCAGTAACGCTCTGTTCAGGAATAGCCAGATGCCATGTGGCAGCCATGGTTCAAATCCCTGGCCCATTTGGCCCAAAAAGGCCAGGCATACTCACAAGTGCCCAGGGCGCAACAAGAACGAAGATTGGAGAGAGGCGGTGTGATGTGACAGACCCTGTGGAGGACACTCACATGCCTCTCTCTCTTTCTCTCTCTCTGTCTCTCTCATTCTTGCTGTCATGTGCACACACACGCACTCTATCATGAATTAAAAAAAAAAAAATTAAACTCTACAAAGAGGCTGCCTCGTTGGTCTGCCGCCAAGAAACACCCTGCCCGTGTTGACACTGCGACGCCGTGTGTGCTTTTGCTCCGGGCAAAGACTCATGGTTGTTTATGAAAATAATAGCTGCCGCTTATCAAACGTTGCCCACGTGTGAGCCCCACACGCACCTGTGAAGACGGTGGTAATGTCCTCGCCTTACCGCTGACAAAACTGAGACTCACAGTTGTTGAGGCCCTTGTCCAGGGTCACACTATTTAGACTGGAGAGTGAGAACCTCAACCTCCATGGGTGTTGGCCTCACCCCAGGCAGGCTCTTCCCCGTCCCCTGACTGCATCTTCGCTCCCTCCCAGAGACTGTGCCAGACCAGGGAGGGAAGAGGTTTTTTATTTAAAGAAAGGTGTATGTGTGTGATTTACTGTCTGGTTTTGGGCTTTTGCCATGACACGTGGGAGCAGATGAGGCACTGGGTAATCTTCTCAAGGTTGGGCACCCCCTGATGACGATCTCGGCATCCTTGGTGTGGCTGAATGTTACCCAGGACCTGGAAGTGTCAGGCTCAGATGTTTCTGCAGAGGCTGTTTCTTGGGGAGCCTTGTCTGTGATGCCGTGAGAGGTAGAACTGAGCCCAGCGGGACGGCGTCTGGGCCCCTCTGCCCCCGATGGTCCTCCCTGTCCCGTGGCCAGTACTGGGAGGGCTCTGGCCTCCAGCTGGTTCTTTGAACACTGTGATCACTTGTGCTGGGACATACGGGTTCTCTTCCTCACTTCAAGTTGGACTTAGCTGTCATTTGCCGCCCGCTCACCCCCTGGCAAATGACAGAGGAGACTGGATGGGGGATGCTTTTACCATCACTTGGGCTTGGACCCTCAGAGCATACGCGTGGTTCAATCCCCGTAACCACCTACTTAGCGTTCTCTGTTCACACGGGCACTTAAGAGGCCTCGTCTCACCAGCTGCTGTGCCTTTTCTGTCCCCTGTACAGTACCTGCAGATGAAATGGCCCCTCCTCGATGTCCCCTCCAGTGCCACTGTCAAGGACACGAGGTCACCCTCTCCGGCACACTTGGTAAGTCTATTTCCCCTCCCAGCCCCAGGGGCAGAGACTGGCCTCATCCCATGCCACCGCCTCCTCTCCGCCTTCTTGAAGCTAACAGGGTCTCTCGGGGTCTCCTCAAGTGTGGAGCGTGGTGGAGAAGAGCCAGGCATCGGGGTTACACGAGGTCACGACCTGCACACTTCTCAGCTCTTATACCTCAGCACACATAGAAACTGCCCCCAACGTCATTTGACTGGCAGTGCCAGCCCCTGTCATCCAGGCTGTCATCCTGATCCCATAGAACTACTTCGGAGCCTCCTGTGTTGTCTGGATCCTCTGCCACTTCACATGGCAGGAGTGGCCTTTCCCTTCTCCAGAGCTCATGCAGTACGGCCTCTGCTTGTCCCTCGTAGCAGCAAGGGGACAGTTCAAGAGGCTCTTCTGTACAGGATGCTAGAGGGCAGGATTCAGATTAAAACCAAAGCTCCGCTGGGCAGCTGGGCCCCTATTACCTGGCCCTGTGGCATCGCCAGACCTCAAAGGAAGGTGTGTGTGGCCCAGGGAGGCGGGAGCACTGGGGTTGGCAGGCCCCTTTGCCTTCTTGGGACATGCCTGGACTGAAATCCAAAGCAGGTAAGAGATACTTCTGGAATGTAACTTTGTAACCCATTGTCGTGCACCTTTTTTAGAAGCTGGGGGCACTGCTTGCCTTCACACCCACTCACTCCTCCAGGAAGTGGTGAGTGTCCTCTGCACGGCAGGTCTGAGAATCCCAGAGGAGGTAGCTGGCAGGCCCCATGTCTGGCATAACCTGTTCTTTTACAGACACTACGGCTGCGTAGTTGCCTTATTCGAGGGCATGGGGAATATCTGCTTTTTGTACTATAGGGCACCTGTGCTCAGCGGAGAAAGACAAAGAACAAAGGAAAGCAAGAAATTGCTCCCTCAGGGGATGGCCACACTGCAATCCCTTCTCCTCTAACCTCCTCTCAGGATTGTGGGCATGCACACACAGGTGCCTAGCATGCTTTTCAAGCCACCGGGTCTGGGAACCACACCACATAGTTGGACATGTGAGATCCAGTGCCATAACCACCACAACACCTGCTCACCCTGTAACTGATATTTAAAAAAAAAACAATGGAGAATGTTGAAGACAGGTAAAAGTAGGGGCCTGGCCATGGGGGCATTCTGCTAAGATGCCGTGTTCCTCAGCCTGGGACCACAAGGGAGGCCCAGGTTCGGTTACCAGGCCAATTTAAGGCTGAGATGGTGGCAAACAGCTGCAATCCCAGCAACAGGGAGTCCGGGTCAGGAGGACGGCCACTTGAGGCTGGCCTGGCAACATGGTGAGCCCTCGTGTAAGGAGAGTAGGACTTGGTGGTGCACATCTAAACCCCCGCTGGGAGGCTGAAGCAAGAAGGTGGCCACAGTGGGAACTTGTCTTCAATGTTTGCAAGACGGATGGCGCCCAGCACTAAAATACTACACTGTGCGAGGCAAAGCCACAGGGGAGGGTTCTGGTTCACTTCCGAAGACCTCCCTAAATGTGCCAAGCACACGTGGGCTGATGGAGGCTAGGGGTAGATCATGGCATCAAGACCCTGTCAGAGGAACCAGCAGTTAGCGTAATGGCTATGTCGCTGGACTCCCACGTAGTCGACCGTGGTTCAAATCCCGGACCCAGTGGCTTAAACACACTGGGCGCATGTGCGTGCGTGCCCAAGATCCCGAGAGGAGAATGGAGGAGAAGGGATTGCGGCGTGGCCATCCCTTCTCGGGGTGGGGGGGGGGATTTCTTGCTTTCTGTCTCTCTGTCTCTGTCTGTCTGTCTGGCAAGCACACGTGCCCTATAGCAAAAACCTCTCCCAAAAAAAAAAAATTGTCAGAGATGCTGTCTCCCTCACATTCACTCATGGGATAAATAGAAATAAACTTCTAAAACTAAAGTAGAATTGGGTCAGTAGGAGGCATGCTGGTTAAGGCTCTGCATCCCACACAGCCAAATGCGTGGTCCAAGACTCAGACCCTGCAGCTTGAAAAACATAACAGGTACGTGTGTGTGCAGGCCCAAAATCTCAGGAGGAGAACAGAAGAGAAGAGACTGCAGCATGGCCATCCTTGGGGTGATTTCTCATTTTCCCTCTTTGTCTTTCTCCAACCTGCATGCGCTCCCTATCGCAAAAATCTTCAATGAGTGAACGAATCAATGGTAGAATTCTGTAATGCACCACCATGATCCAGTCACCGTACTCTTCCCATCACACTAAGTTTTATTTCTTTAATTTTTTTTTAAGCATTCATTTATTTATTTGTTCCATGGTTTGCCCCCCCAACCCCCGCCAGTAGATCTTCGTGGCATGATCCACCCCTCCTGGCCTGAGCGAGGATCACAGGCACGTCCATGCTCTCACTGTGCAGGGAGACTCGGGAGGGTCCTGGGCCTTCCCACGTGCCGTCAGCAGTGCAGTGGGCGTGTTACCACCACACGGTCAGGGCTGACCCACGTCCATTTTTAAAGCAAATCTCGGGTGTGTTCTTCCGTCTCCTGTGACAGCGTTCAGTATACTGTAATGCTTGTGCGTTAAAGCTCAGAGTCTAGTTGAGGAGAAAGCAGATGTGCGTAGAAAGATAAACCGTGGTACGCGAGCCGTGAGTTCCGGTGATCCTGAGCCCAGCCGGTAGAGGAAGCGCAGGGTCGTTCACCACAGTGTCAATGTGCAGCTCTCTGACAGTTGTCACAGCCATCCCACTGGCAGGCAGGTGAGGGGGACTGGGGAACAGTGAGCGGCAGAAACTGGAGGCAGGTTCTGGGGCTGGTCATCAAGACAGCAGCCCATTGAGTGAGCCCATCAGGAACAGGGGTGGCTCCACCTCCCAGGGGTGGCCAGGGTGGTGGCTCCACCTCAGAGTCCCATGTAGGATGGCCGAACGTGAGGTATAGGGCCCTCTAGTGGGCGAGTCAGTCAAGGTAGAGGACACCCCCCTCTGCCCACCACAGACCTGGCTTGTCCCCACCACCCACACAGCTGTCTCCCTCTCTAACTGCCTGAGACCTCTGCTGCCCCACACCAGTCCTGTGCTACCCCAGCCTTCACCAGCAGATTCCAAGGTGGCCAGGGCCACTGCCTTCTCTTCTGTCACATCCTCTGTCATCTCTGTCTACTTGTAGAGATAGGATTGCCCTTTACAAAGTAATGCGTTTCTGAGTTTCCCGTCCTTCCTGTTGCACAGCAGCCCATCCCTGATAAAGGAGAGGGAAGCCCTACGTCCAGCTTCTCCCCTGTGTGCACGGTCCTGTTTACCACTGAGACTCACCTCCGGACTCCATGCCTCCGTCACCACACTTTATTCCTCCATTGCGGCCTGGCTTGACCCTCTGGTCACCACCTGATAGCCAAGTCCTACCATTTTCCTGCCTTTTCTCAGCACAGGTGACATCTGACAGTATTTTCTACCCCCTGCTTCTTGTAACCCTCTTTTTTTTTCCATTGGCTCCAAGACACGGCCTTAGTACACAGAATTAGTTTTGTTCTTTCTTTTAAAAAAATAATTGCTTTATTTAGTTTTTTATTTTAATTTGACCAGAGAGGTACAGCGAGAGAGAGAGAGAGAGCAGTAAAGTGAGAGAGCAAGCCACCAGATCTGGGACTTGAACCACGTTCGGCCATGTGTGGAGTCCAGGGCCACCTGCCGGCCCCCAGTTCTTTGTTGTTTCTAAGCTTCCGCTTTCTCTCTAGACTCCTGCACTCAAACAAATCAGCTATTTGTCATCACTTATTATCTCAGCGTAAGTGACCAAAAACTCCCTGAACTCAGAAGAAGGTCCTACACCCACGGTGCCAGCCGCTAAATAAACACGCAGCCGTCGCAGAAGGGTGCTGTACAAACAGTTCCGCTTTGTAGTGGTGCAGGGGACTCTTACTCTGTCTTCATGGCAGAGAAGCATGACCTGTTGATAACTCGTTACACTAAAGACAGCAAAAGAAACAATTTTCTAGTAATCTATATATTAGCATATTCTAGTTTTTTGGGGTTTTTTTTTGTTTTTTTTTTTTACCTTTTTTTCTAAATTTGCTATAGAGCACATGCACACACGAGTGTGAGAGAGAGAGAACGTGAGAAAGCAAGCCGCCAGGACCAGTACTCAAACCACAGTCAGCCACGTGGGAGTCCAGCACCTTCACCACCACGCCACTACTGGCCAGCATACTCTATATTCTAAAATACCAAAGCAGAGACAGGTGTCAAAAGTAAGGAACACCACATCAGCTGATGTGTTGTTTAAGGTGCTGAGGGTGGAGCTTCCACATGGCCAACTGCGGTTCAAGTCCTGGATCTGGCAGCTTGCTCTCTCTCTTCTCTCTCTCTCTCTCTCTCTCTCTCTCTCTCTAGTCAAATTGAAGACTAATGATAAATAAATAGAATAAATCTTTTTTAAAAAATAAGGAACATTAACAGGAGAAGTTCTTAATATTGACTTTGAATTCTGCAGATTGGGGAAATCACCATTTTTCAATTTTAGAGCATCTCATTCCAAATTCTGAGAGGTGTGCTTGTGTGGGAGCAAAACTGAAGTACCCGGGAGAAGGACACACATGTTGACACTGAAATGCAACGGGTTTTATTATTTATTTTTATTTATTTTTTTATATAATTATTTTCTTTAACTTTAGTTATATATTTATTTATTTGACCAGTGAGAGATTGAGAAAGCAAGCTGCCAGGCCCAGGACTCAAACCGGT